CAAAAAGTAGTATCAAAATAATCTGGGGAGTATTTTTTGAGTATTTTTTTGCCCTTTTGGTGTATTTTTCGGGTATCTTTTACTTTTCGTCGAAAATTCCCCTGTAGGGGGACACGCCCGACATAAGTTTTGCTATCTGGGGTCTATCGCCGATCTATCGTCCATAACTCGGGCCTCGGGCGGCCGTTCGGGACGATCCGGGCACCTCCGGAATGCTCTTGGCGAGGCGCGGCTGCCGGAAGGCATCCCGAGGCTAGAAAGCCGCCTGGGACACACGAGAACCTCCGATAACCTCGAACCTCGAAACTTCGATAAGTCTTTCCCCTTGGCCAGTCCCCGGCTAACGTTGCCCCTCGCCTCCGTTGCCAAGATGAGCTTGCCGCTATGGCGTGGGGAAGACTACACCCCGTCATCGCAACCAAGTGTTTCGATCCACGCCCATTCAGCAGCACGAGGGTTCTGGATCCACGCATCCCAAGGACAAGCGACAGGGGAGGGCACAACATCGAGAATCGCCAACGCAGCGAGAGAGTCCACAAACTCATTCATGAGGTCTCCTTCGTGAGACCTGACGTGCGAGAATACAGTACTGCCTCTCGACCTGAGAGAAAAGAACAATGGAGCGCATGACACTGGCATATCCATTGAGACTAAGTACATTAGAGTTTCCTGCTTGCACAACCAACAGGTTGACGCTGCAAAACTGGCAAGATGATGCATTCGCTTGGCACGTCCAAGATAATGCCCAGACGAGAGCGACCACCTCTGACCACAGGCTACGCAGGGGGGAGGGCACAGCACTACCTAACACATCTAATTTGCCTGCTAAACGGCCTCCAAGAAACCCTCCCTCCGTCCTCGGCTTCCACCACAACAGCAAATGCCCAAGCGGGGGGGGGGACTTGACGAGCCTCTCGAACCATCAGCACGGATGGTAACTTGGCAACTGCTAAACGAACGCCTCCACGGAGGGAGGGATCCGAGAAACGCAACGGAGGAGGGGAGGAGAACCCTTTCTAGGGGCTTCCAGTCTTGATCGAGAGGATGCCCCCAAGATACCTTTAATGGCCACTGCTAAGGCCCCCGCATCTGGAAACGACGACCTCAGCGTGCGACATGCTCTCGTGCAGGGTATCGACATCCTGATCCACGGGAGTGGGCGGCGACGCTACCCCTGCGGGCCTGTTCTGGCCGACTGCTCTCGTCTTGATGCCTCGTGAGCCCCTCCTCTCCTGCATTGCCCACCGCGTGTGGCGACCGAGAGGCCGCTCTCGGAGGGTCCTCGCTCTGTATGACTGGGCGGCCCCTCGGCGCCAACTGCGTTGGAGGAGGGGGGAGGAGGAGGAGGAGGAGGAGGAGGAGGAGGAGGAGGAGGAGGAGGAAGAGGAGGAGGAGGAGGAGGAGGAGGAGGAAGAGGAAGGAAAAGGATGGAGGAGGAGGAGGAGCAGGAGGAGGAGGAGGAGGAGAGGGGGAGGTTGAACAAGATGAGTGCCAGACACTGGGGCGGCCGCCGCCTGAGCAGCGGCCGTCTCCACAGGGAGGACAGCTGCATGCTGAACCACGCTCCCTGCTGCTGTGGGGTGGGTCCAGTCTGCGGGGTGATGGCCAGGACTAAAGCCCGATGGCGTGCATTGACTCCTGCCTTTTGCTGCGAAAGATTCGAAACATGTGCATCTACACTGGACTGGTACGCAGTCATTGCATTGCTCATCGTCCTTAGCTGTTGCTGAATCGCTGCGAGATCTGGGACGTGCCAAGTAAGGACCTGAGTCTGCGGCGGCGCTGCCTGCTGGGCCGCTGTCGGCGGTGGTTCCCCTTGCGGCGCCAGCTGTAGGCCGCTCCTTTTCTGGGGCCCCACTGGCAAAGGCTCCGCCGGTCTAGGTCCCCCAGACTCTGCACCATCCATGGCGATATCTGGCCTGTCCTCGTCGATCTCCGAAAGCGCACATTCGTGACACTGAACCCACTCCTCTGCTGTATCTCTCTTTTCTGCTGCAGCTGTTCCAACTCATGCTTCAACTTTGAGATCTTCGTGCTGATCTGGTCCAAATTGACACTAGATCTCGAGCGAGCTGATGCTTGCCTGCCGTGTTGATAATGCCACGGTCGGCACATGAACGGCCGTGAGCACAACACTGAACCATTCTCTCTCGTCCTCTAAGCTCTCGTTGTTGTCGTCCTTCATTATGATCGACGCGGCGAGCGTCTTCAACTCCTGTCTTCTCTTAGCAATGTACTGCTTTCTCTCCGTGACAGTCGCCGTGGGAGGAAGGTCTCCTGGGTATCTGGAATTGTGCCGAGCAGTTCTGGGAAGTGCGGGGGATTGCCCCAAAGGTTGACGGTCTTCCTCCTCTTCCTCGTCCTCTGCAAAAGAAACGGCAGGGTTGGCTTGACGCCTTGGGCCTCGCTGGCGGCGTGCTGCTTCCTCGTGCTACTCGTGCTGTTGCGGATGAGTCTGACGCACCCATGGGTCGCGCACAAAGCCTCCAGCAGATCCTTTGCCTCCACCACCCTTGCCTCCACGACTCTGCTGCCTGCCACGTGCTCCCGAATGTTCCTGATGCACAGCAGAGCAAGAGCGACACATAGATCTTTGCAGGAAATTGAAAGTACCGCATTCCGCACGGTTCCA